TGAATGTGTTTGTTTCAAATGCTGTTACAAAGCTGATGAAATGGGTTTGGTCAATCAAATCCAGTACTAAAACTGGTATGTATAATGGATCTCTGTGATGTTATGCCTTTTTATTTTACAACCCCATTTTGATTTTTCTTTTTAATTTTAAATTTTTGGAGGTAAAAAAATTCATTTCTGGTGAGTAATGGTGTTTTTTGCAGTGATATCTGGGCGTCCAATGATGAAATTTGAGAGTGGGTACAATGTGGAGACAGTGTTTGATGGAAGCAAACTTGGGATTGAGCCTTATTCTGTAGAGATTATGTCTAGTGGAGAGCTCCTCATTTTGGATTCTGCTAATAGTAATCTTTACAAGATTTCTTCCTCTTTGTCTCAGTGTAAGTTCTTTCTTCTTTTTTTATTTTGGGTGTTTTTAAATATTCTAGGTGATTAGTGGCATCAATCTTGAGTTCTTTTTCTTTTTTTTTGTGTGTAACTTTGGTCTTAGTTTTTTGTTGCTTGTATAAATTTTTGTATGCCTAGGTTGTCTGTGCCCGCGTGCATACATGACTATTTCACCGGTTACCTGCTACCTCCTACTCACATAGGGTATACGTAGACTAGGTTTTCTCATTTGGGGAGTGTCAGAATTTTAACAAGGTTTGACATGAGTGTAAAAGAATCGTGATCTGAGCTAGACATTGTACTGAGTTTTAGCTCAGAGTTTGCACATTTTGGCTACATGTGCCTGGTGCATTGTGTTGTGTTCTTGTTAATAACACTACTCCTTGTGGCTTTCACTTTGTGAGTAGTCCACTGACTGTTTCTCCAGAGTACCTTATCTTTGCTTTTCATGTTGACTTGAAGATGCTTTGCTCTTACCATTTGATTCTTCATGTTTGCTGCAAATTCTTTTGCTCTGTTATATGTGCCGACATTTTTCTAGCAAATAATCTTTTGGTATTTTCTTTCTAATAGTTTTTTCTTGAAGCTTCTTTGTGGTACTTCTTTATTGTGGAAATTTTAGTCTAACTGGGGAGAATTGACAGATACCAGACCTAGGTTGGTGGCTGGATCAGCTGATGGATACTCTGGACATATTGATGGAAAATTACGGGACGCAAGGATGAATCATCCGAAGGGTCTTACTGTTGACGACAGAGGGAATATCTATATAGCAGATACTGATAACATGGCAATTAGGAAGATAAGTGATGCAGGTGAGTTACTAAACTTTGACCCTGAAAATGATAGAGTAGCATTGCCCGGTTTGTTTGTGTTCATCGTACATGTCTTTCAAAGTCTCCAAATTTCTGGTCCCCTAACTTTTGATAAAATAGGGTGATTTCTGAAATCTCCATTTGGTATCTTAGTTTTAAGAGTCAAATGTGGGGACTAATGTCTGCAAAGTTAGAATGCTCTTCAAATTTATGCTATGAAATTTCCTTGTCCAGGGATTACAACAATTGCCGGTGGTAAATGGAGCCGTGGAGGCGGGCATGTTGATGGACCAAGTGAAGATGCAAAATTCTCTAATGATTTTGATGTGGTCTATATGGGAAGCAGTTGTTCCCTGCTTGTCATAGACAGAGGAAATAAAGCAATTAGGGAGATTCAACTCCATTTTGAAGACTGTGCTTATCAGTATGGTAGTGGTTTTCCGCTAGGTTAGTAACCTTGCGTTGTTCTACTTTGTTCAAATCTATTGCAGTTGAACATGTTATGGAAGAAACGCGAATTTGCTACAGGAATAGCTGTACTTTTAGCAGCTGGCTTCTTTGGTTACATGCTAGCGTTGCTGCAGCGAAGGCTTAGTACCATTGTATCTCCTGAAGAAGTGAGTATCAAGTTCCTTACTCTTAGTCACATTACTTTGTAAGCATTGCAACGGGGACTTAGATTATCAAGGATATAGAGACCCTTCTTTTGCTTATAGGCTTGCCTATTTCTATGTTGCTTGGTTACAATCACTGAACTGAACAAGTTTTAGAGAAGAGTTCTAAGATATTCGTGTAACTATTGTTAATTAGTAAGTTAAAACTCTATTGTGCAGACAACTTCTAATTAAATGGTGTCTTGTGTCATAGACATCCCATACGCGATCTCATTTACTTTCTATCTCTTCTGTCTTCTTGAAGGATCAGAACACATCCATTTTCACCAATCAATATCAGAAGCCAGCTAAGTCATCATTTAGGCCTCCCCTAATTCCAACTGAAGGCGATGAGGAGAAGCTAGACGAAAGCATGTTTGGATCTCTAGGGAAGCTAATTATGCGTACGGGAGCATCAGTTTCTGATGTTTTAGGAAATGTATTTCCTGTGCTGAAACGTACACCATTGAACCATCATCAATATCAACAGCAGCAGCAGTATCAGCAACACACATGGCCAGTACAGGACAGCTTTGTAATACCAAAAGAAGATGAGCCCCCATCCATTGAAACCAGAACACCTACCCCACGAAAGACGTATGCATTCATGTCCAAAGATTCTGAAAAAATGCAACAGCTGAAGCAAAGCCGTGCTTTTTATGGTGGATGGAGTGCTGATGTTCAACTACAGCAACAGCAAACTCAGAAGCAGCTACATCATCATCGATATCATTCATCCGGACCTCAAACATTCTACGAGCAAAGCTCAGAGAACACAAAGGAAGTAGTTTTCGGAGCAGTTCAAGAACAAGGGCAGTGCAACACAGTGATAATAAAGCCTTTGGACCATGCAAATCCTGTTTATGATCGACAAAATATTCGTTCTCGGTTCAACTCTGCTGGATATTCTCAAGGCTATTAATCAAGCTACATACAGAAACTTCAGGAGTTCTTAAAATTGCTTCTTGATGGCCTAGAAATGAGAAATATATCATGCACTAACAGCCATCAAAGTACAAAAATTTTGGAGAAAGGAAGCCCCGTGTTAGAATAGCTTATAATGTTTATCTAGTAGTCTAAATTGCTGTAGTGAATGCTGTATAAGTGAGTTGAAAATTATTACTAGTACAAAAAAAATGTTCTATATATATCATGATCTGATCAATTCCCTAGGAATTCCATTGCTTCTATTGCTTTTTGAGTACCAACCTGGATATTAATGTGAAGACAAGATCTATTTCCATTGCTTGTCCTTTGCACATACCCTGAACACTAAAGGGGTCCAAGTAAAAGAAAAAACAAAATGGTAAAAAACAAGAAAGCCAGCCAAAAAAGAAGTTTTCTCCTTACTATTTGTTCCACCATAGGTAGCTAGAAAAAATGAAAGCACAAGTTGTATTACTTAAACAACACCTGGTAGAACAATGAGGTATGGGCTGAGTAAGGAGTAAGGACATGAATATATACTATATAGGAAATATGCACTTGAAGCCATTAATGTTCATTGATTTTTATATTGCTCCTTTGTTAATGCAAGAATGTTTGTAGATCTTCCAAATAGTACAATATTATTGGAGTTTTTTTATTTGTTTCTTTTAATAATTAACTGTACTGATGTTACAGTGAGAGAACCCACTCACATGGGCACGTGATCAATGGTAAACTACAGTTAAAATTGGAGTAAGACAAATGAACTAAGCATTCTTTTCAACAGATCTATTATAATGCTCACAAAGTAAAAATAATTACAAAAAAAAACTCTTCATTTTTTTAGAAACTTAAAAATAATGAGTACCTTATCAAGCTTTTCTAGAACTTCTTCTGAAAACTTGAAATCCAAATTAAACATTTAAAAAAAAATGGAAGCCTAATTATTTGGTCTTTTTTTTCCTGTAAAAATAGCACGGGCTAGCCAGTTTTCGGACTGGTCATTCAAAAATAGCCAGCGTTTTCAAAGTCATTAAAAAATAGCCACTATTTTGCTGCAACACGGAAAGTTCCAGCATAATATATTAGAGATCGGTGCACATGTGTATGAACTTCCAGCATATTACGCTGGAACTCCAACAAGCGGAAAGTTCAAGTATAATACATCTCCTTTATATTATGCTGGACCGGTATATTATACTGGAATTCCAGAATATTATACTGGAGTATTTTTTCGGATTTTGAACAGTATTTTCGTTCAGATTTATCTTTACATGAAAAGTGGCTAAATTTCGATTATTTTGAAATTGTGACTATTTTTGAATGACCACTTGTAAATCTAGATATTTTTGAATTTCTCTTTTTTTTTTCTCTCTATTTTAGTGGATTCCATTTTCCACACCCCACAAAGCCCAAGAATAAAAAAGATTACAACTTAATTTGAGAACTTGACATTGGATCACCCAAACCATTATCATTTGATTTAGTGCCATGGTTTATAAATCCCATACAACTTCCCACCCTGTCCCTTGCACCCCAATGGATAAAAGAAAAGGAGAGAAAAGTTTTCCCCAACATCACCCTTCAAAGATATTTTCTTTCTTTTTTTTGGACCATCCCTTTGAAGATATCTTAACAGATGGGAGGTCCTATATTTATCACTCTTGTTGCCATATCAGGTTATTTAGTTGGACCGTCCATTGGCTCTATTATACAAGATAGCAAGATTTCAACTGGTTCCAGACAATTGTACATCCCCAGCTATCCTGCTCTACCTTAGAAAAGTCCATCAATAAGTCTTGTACTATCTATTTTCACTTTTACTTGTCCACTATAATAAAAATATATTTTCACTTTTACTTGTCCACTATACTAAATTAAGAGAAAGACAATTTTTTTTTTTATGTTTTACCCTTATCATTAACTACTCATTCCTCAAATCATTTGTCAAGACTTTTGAAAATGCTATCATAATTGTAAGTAAAATTATAAAACATATATTTCATTTATTATTTTACAAGGGGCGTGAAAAGTTGGATAACATTGGAGCGACAAAAAATACGCTAGGGGTTCCATCACATTGCACATGGACGTGAGTGAGCATGAGCTAGGGTACCCACATCATGGACGGATGTGAGAAAAGTATAATCAACCCCAACTTATTTGGAATTGAGACGATACTATATTTGCACTTATATAGACTAAAGGGTCAAAATCAGATGGAAACAAAAACAAATAGTTTTTTCATACAAGACATCACTTCATTGAAACAAGAAAACACAGACTAGAAATATTAACTCAAAAGGGCCTTGAGTCATTTGCTTGTCCACTATGTACATGAAAGTGGTAGCAGATAGACCGATGAACTTTCAGAACAGTTGCAAAAGTTAATAGTAATACATACTACTGCTAGACTTCACTAAGTTACGTTCTTTTTTCGGTTAACTAAGCTCGAAATGCTCGATGAAACTTCACGCCCTGAAGAAGCAATCCCCTGTTCTGCAAACCCTTTTAGATTAGCTAGTATCATGCTATCTACAACAGAAACATCGGTACTTTTGCTCACTGCATCATCTTGATTAGTAGTCAGCTCGGAGTTAACCAAACTTCCATCAAAAGTTATCAAATCCTCCAAAATGTTAGCTGCCACCGGTGATTTTGCTGATTCTTTGCTTTCAGAGTCGTCAAAACTTAAGAGAGGAGCCAGTTGTTTACGAGAAGTCTGGCATACTACTACTTTAGGACTAAACATTAGGCACAGATGGGAGAAAGTAAGTAACACGAGCTTCCTTAAAAGTGAATAGATCTTTGAGTCAACAACTACGCTTCTGATGCCGAAGCAGAACATCAGAACTTGTCTCTCCAGACTGATTAGGAAGTGCTTCCATGTCATGTTGCGCCGAAGACGACTGCCATGTTCCTGTCTAGAAAGTTCCATTAGAGAATATGTGAGCATTTGTCATCACCGGAACTCAAAACCGACCACTATTGATACTTACATTAGGGATAACATAAGGACGGATGACCAACCCGAGAATCAAGCAGACCAAGCAGGGAAGCCCCACGGTTAAGAACCATGTAGAAACTGCTCTTAGAGCTGAGAAAACGTTAAAAATGTTAAACTATATTATTTCGAGTAAAAGGAAAGAATAGTATTCAGAAATACAAAGTGAAAAACATCCAAAATATGAGACTTCAAAAGGTTTATGGAGACTTAAATTCCATAGTCATGTTGTTTACTAACCAATCCACAAGCCATTAAACTGCAGAATCTGATGAGCAATTCCAACCTCAAAATCACAAAAAGGGAACAAATGCAAAAGGAGACGAGCAATGTATGCTTGGATTAATGTATTACCAGAATGAGAATCTCTTGAACAATCCTCGGCCTTAAGCTGTATTTGCCGCACTAACATAGTGCCACGGTCAGAGATCATTAAAGTGCATCTCTCAGGAACAAAAGAAAGTTCAAAATCAGCTGAGAATGACGCATTTAATCCAGGTCCATCAGCACGGCCTGGCTTTAGTGAATAACCCCCTGCTATTGTAGTAACACCTGGTATCATCAATGATTAAGGAGTTGTATTCAGAATCAAATGTGATAATATTAATAATTAAAAAAATATATTACTGATTACTGAAACAGCTTAAACTAGCCACCATGTAATATCACCACCATTTGACAGTTACAAACTCCCCGAGGAAAACTCTCTGTACTAAACTCCCCCTTAATAGAAAAAGGTTGATGAAGAAGAGAAACACCAGGGAGTCACAAAAAGTTGCTAAATAGAACCCTTAAAAGCATGCTTCATAAACCATATTGTACAGCATATTTTCAACCAACATGAGAAGCATAAATTGGGGTTGATTACACATTACACCACTGGCAGCTAACATGGATTTAAATTATAGTCAATTATTGTCCCCATGCCCTTCTTCTTTGTCCAAACAGTTACATTTACCCAGCGTCCAGTGGCTGTCCTGGGGATCATCATCTCTTGACGGTTGAAATCAGCAATTCTAGGTGTATGCCTAGAAAGCTATGTTAGAGGGCGAAAAGCTGGTTCCAAGTAGTCTTAAAGTCAGAAAGTCTCCATTTCCTCTTACTCATCCATGAAGTTTGCTGTTCTCTTTTCAAAGTAGTGCTATTCTTGACCTTCAACAAACATGAACCAACGCCATCTGACAGCCACATCACTTTCTAAATACATACAAAAAATGTTCTAATGCTTTTTTATCAACATCCTCTTTTTCCATAAGCCTAAAATTTGGGCTCCCCTTAAGTCTCTCAACCTTATCGTGCCACTTGTGACCCAAAATACAAAGATCCTGTTTAGCATGACATATAATGTTTCCTAGCAGAAATGCTAAGTGCTGGTGTTGGCTTTATAAACAAGCGGTTACATGTTTGGATATAAGTGTTGAAACTGAAACTAAGTTGTTGATGGGTTTGGTAAAAGCATTATTTTCTATTAAATAACTTAAACATCCTTAAATTTGTTAACACTATAAAAAGAGCTATTACTACAGGATTTTAATTATACATACAAAATAATTTACGTTTCAATGCACTTTCAGTCATGAGATAATTTTAATACAGATAAGTTATTTATTTGAAGTGGTTGAATTAGAAAGATATTTGTTATTAAATTTCAGTAACATTTGATATTGCTATCGACTTATCTAAGTAGCTACGTTGTCCCATGCAAAGAAATAGCAAGGGAGTCATTTTTTAAGCCAACGTAGCAACCCAAATTGCAAACAAGATATTATTTAAGGAATTAGATAGTTTGCCCTTTTTGTGTATTACTATGAATATAAACAATTGAGTTATCTAGTACATATTATTTAGTTTTAAAATATATAATTCAAATACTATTTCAGAGAGCATGTGAGATTGATGATTAGCTGCAGCTATTAAAGCATGCATGTCTAATTCACTTACATGTTTGCTTATGCATGTAATGACCATTCTTGGAAACTGTTCAGATACCTTAAAACATTTGATATCAAATTTGTTTACATAAAAAAGGTGCACCTTAATAGAGTTACCTGATATATGTTGCTGGTGGGAGATATTAGGTATCTCATTGCAGAAGTCTTCATTTCTTTGTTAAATTTTGTACCAAGTCAAAGGTGCCGCATAAATTGGAACAGAGGGAATACCAAATTGATTTGAATACAAAGACCGAAAAAACATTCATATAATTACAAGCATCACAAATTTCATTAGGAATCATATCACGAAAAGTCATCGAATAGTTAACACTTTGTTCTTCCACATTTATGGAGTTGGCTCTTAAGATTTACCAATATCACGAACATATATCTCAATCTTAGCGGCTCGGAATATATCATCTACATTGCATTACTTCCTAATATAATTGTGAATGGCCATCATAGCAAGAACGATATCTTAAAGTGCCAATGTAATAGTAATGCATATGTCGCAAGATAGACCGTCTTGCTTTCCTAATCCCAAATGTCAGCTCTACAATATTTCTACAAGAAGAATGCAAACAATTAATTTTTTCTTCACGTCCTCTTGGTACTCACAATTGTTGTGTGGCACCGATAGAATTTTACTAGGTTGTATCTCACATTATCTCCTTTATATGGAGACATATATCACGTCATGCGCGAATATCTTGCATCAATTTAATAGTACTTGTTTCCTAATTGATGTAAAAAGGTGAGCTCTAGTCTACGAAGGGCCTTACCAAATATACAAAAATCATGAGTTGCTCCTTCCCACCCAACCCATGCAAAATATAAAGCACATAGTTAAGTCTACAACAATAAGAATATTTTGAGTTGGATACCCTCTACGTCCAATATATGCTATCTCTTAACCTTATAGTTATCTAGCTTTCACATGTTCACCATCAAGTTCTCTTATGCAATCTTATAAACATATATAAATTTAACTTAAGTTTGTAGCAGTGAATGACAAAATTATCAAAATATAATAAAGTATGATTATCATAATCGTTACTTATTTTAAAGAAAGTGAGATGTCGTCGGTTACATGGCTTGAGATCTCTTGCACCATCATTGATATTTACGTGTGTTCTAATAATATCTCTTGCAAACTTACGAACTACCCTTAAAAAACTATGAAAATGTCTATATTGAGGTTTGATGTTATCTTATTCTAAACTTGTCACCCCTTTCTCAACTGCTTAAAAAGAGTCCATTCGGCTTTCATGTAATCCAAATGGATTCTTTTTAAGCAAACGGTGAAAAAGTGACAAGTTTACGATGTGATGATATCAACACTCAGAAGATACAATCCATAAACATTGTCATAGTGTTGTAAAGGTCGTTAGTAAGCTTGCAAGAGATATTATTAGACCACAAAAATTATAATGATGTGTAGGAGATCACAAGTTGTGTAACTTACAATATCTCCATTTCTCTAAAGTAATATCTTTTAAATAATTATAATTTATTATATTTTTTTTCAATTTTCACACTGCTACAAACTTAAGCAAAATTTATTACATTTGAGCACTTGATGGCACACATGTGAAAGCTAGATAATCGTAAGGTCGAGTGATGCCATATATAGGACGTAAGGGATGTCTAACTGAAAAATTCATATTGTTGTAGACTTTAATATGTGTTTTATATTTGCATGGACTGGGTAAAGAGCAGCTCATGATAGTCATATATGTGGTGAAGCCCTTCGTAGACCAGAGCTCAACTTTTCACATCCATTGAAAACAAATATTATCTAGTAGATACAGGATAACATCCACACAAGAGCAGGTATATGACTCCCGTACAAAGAAGATAAGATATCACCTAGCACAATTTTATCACGGTACCACACAACAATTGTGACTACCAATAGAACAAAAAATAAGTATTTGCATTCTTGTAGAAATAGTTTGAAGCAGACATTTGGGTTCGGAGAGCAAGGTGGTCTATCTTGCAAATGATGTATTACTATCACATTAACACTCACGGGATATCGTACATTTGTACTTGCTACATGACGATTCACAATTATACTAGAAAAAATATGATATGGATAATGCATTCCGAGTAACTAAGAGTGAAAGATATGTTCGTAATGCTAGTACACCTTTAAGAACTAAGAATATAAATGTGGAAAATTTGGAAGAACAAGGTAATAACTATTGGATGGCTTTTCCCGATATGATTGCTAATAAGATTTGCAATGCTTGATGTTTGTAATTATATGAATATTTTTCGCTCTTTGTATTCAAATCAATTTGGAAATATATTTGAGGTGCACTTTTACATAAACAAATTTGATATTCTAATATCTTAAGGTGTTTGAATAGTCTCCCTAGAATGATCATTATCACCCCATTAGCATTGAATGCACAAGCAAATATGAAAGTGCACTAGACACTCATTTATAAAATCAGCTCCAGCATTTAAAAAGTATTTTCCGAAACTTGGTGCTTAAAAGCTACATAAATTCGCCAAATGGGATCTAAATGTGGCCGAAGTTATTGTTATGCATCACTAAACATCAGTCTAATGAATCCACCCTCAACCTCCATCACTATCATAGTCGTCCAACTTTTTACCCTAACCAAACACCAGATATGAATCTCTAGTATAACATTCTTTCAATAAAAACACTTTAAGCCAGATCAAACACGATCAGTAAGACTAGACAAAATACCCAAAATAAGAAATTATTGCAAGTATATCTAGATACCTGACTTGCTAATCTTTCTAATTGCATGCTTGTTCCAAATATCAGCAACATAAATATTCCCTTTTGAATCAACAGCAAAGCTTTTGGGTTTGTTGAACTTAGCCTTATCCAGAGAACCATCCACATAGCCAGCAGTCTCACTACCAGTTAACTTCGAAATAGAAAATTCTGCAAAATACCCAAAAAATTCTCAAGAAAATGAAATAACACAATTCTGCAATAATCCCACTCCGTAAAAATTAACCCTTCCCCCAAATAGAAAAAACAAAGTTACAATCTTTATCACGTATGAATGAGTCTTTGTTAAATGAAGTATACCAAAAAAACTGTCCCAATGAAACGAACTAGCCCCAAAAATTGTTCCAATAAACTGAACTAACCCAACTTAGCAGCAATCCCACTTCATAAAAATCAACTCTTTCTCCAAATAGTTTAATAAAAATCTAATCTTTATCACAATTTACTATTTTTGGTACATGAAACATACCCATAAATTATCCAATAAACTGAACTAACTCAATACTGCAACAACCCCCACTTCATAAAAATAAAACCTTTCTCCAAATAGTTCAATTAAAATCCAATCTTTATCACATTTACCATTTATGGTTTATGAAACATACCCATAAATAATCCCAAGAAACTGAACAAAGCCACTTCAGAAAAATTAACCCTTTTCACCAAATAGGGGGGGGGGGGTTAATCTTTATAAAATTTACCAGAGTTTTTGTTGAAAGATAAGGTGTAAAAAGTACTGGCAGCAGAATCAAGAATGATGAAATTGCCAGCACCCATTACAGAAATTATGGAGTGAGGGTTAATTTTGATCTTGTGGCCATCAATCAGTGTCTTAACTGAGTAACCATCCTCAAAGATCACTTGAGCATGAACTGTAAAAATAAAAAAGAAGTCAAAATTTAGCTTTTTTAGTTTTTATTTTTAGTCTGAAGTGTAAAGAGTAAAAAAAGGAAACAAAATTTTACCTGGGGTAAGAATTATATTGAAGAAGAAGAAGATGCAGAGGATTGAAACCAGTGAATCCATGAGATTACAGAGGATGAGGCAATGGATCTTTTCTTTCTTTTTTGGCTTAAGGGCTAAGGTAAATGTCATCTAGGTATAGGTTCAACAGAGGAATCCAAGGGAAAATTATTATAGTGTCAGACTAGTAAAAGTTTTTCTTTGTCCCTTGAAGTAACGTTGTTGAAATATTTAACCCTATGATCTAGTATTTCGTTTGACACTTGAGGACCCCTTTGGATTTGGTTTAGGAGTTGATTTTGCAGTCAATTATGAGCCCGTTAGGATTAGCGGATTGGGCTTGAAGTGCTGAAAAATATTTTTAAGTGCTGAGATTAATCTTTTAAATAAATATTTATGTGTTTGAATAGTATTGCTAAAACTGATAAAGTTGATGTGTTTGGTAAAAAAATGCTGATAAGTTATTCTTTTATTAAAAAGGCTAAAATACCCTTTAAAACTTTACAAAAGATTATAAATTAAAAAATTTCTTTGCAACGAAAATGGAATGAAGAAAAAGTTAGAAAATTTATTTTGGAAAAAGTATTTAGTAAATTACAAAATATTATTAAGGATAAACTAGTAAATATCTTAGTCAAACTAAAAGTGTTTGTAAGCTGAAAAGCTATAAAACGGGGGTGACCAACTTATGACTTATGGCTGGTTTTAGCTTATAAGCACTTTGAGCATTTATCAAACTCGTAGTTAAGCCAAAAGATGCTCATAAGCTTGTTTTACTGGCTTATAAGCTTAGCCAAACACCCTCTATGTCCGTCCATAAGCAACTTATTACAAAAATTAGTTAATTCATAAAATATTGCTAATATTAGCCAAATGATACCAATATTAGCTAATTAGTTATTTGTAGTAAAAAAAGGGGTTAATTTTTTGTTTTCTTTTGAGTGAGTATTGTTGGAATAGATTGGGTACAACTTAAAGCTTTTGAATCTTAATTTTGGGATGATTTGGTGGAGTTTTGAGGTAGTTTGAATTGAAAAATTGAAGTAGAAGATGAACATGGGAAAAAATTATATGTGTATTACATTGTGTACCACATATGTATCATATGTTTATCAAATATGTATCACATGCATATCCATGTATACTTGTGTGTGAGATACATGCATGACACAAGATTGATGCACATGTCGCACAAGAAATTTTTAAACTCAATTTTTAACTACGAAGTTTGATACCAAACCAGTCCAAATCACCTCCATTCTTGCTCAAACTTTGTATATTGCATTCAATTAATTCCAACCATAACCATTGGAAAAATCTTTTCTCATCGAATCTTTTTAATATATCATTGGTAATGAATTTTGATTTTAAACTAGTCTAACTCACCTTCCAACTTCGTCAAATTTTGTATATTGCCTCATTTATGTGTTTTCAATCAATCACAACAATATCCCCTGTATTTTTTGAATGTTGTATATCATTGGTAATTTTTTTTGGTTATTTTTGATAACATGACTAAGATGACAAGTTGTTAGTAAATTACATCTTTTTTGATACATTCCCGTAAGATTTCCTTGATATATGATGTTCATCGGGTGTTAAAAAAATATAAAATTCTTTTTCACGAAATTAATAACTTTGGACAATAAGAAATTGTTCTTCCAAACAACATTAGCACAAACAAAACTTATAAGTTAATTTGTCTCAAGAATAACGGTCGTAGCAATGTATTAGTGATTAAGCATAATGATGACCGAATTAGACACATCAATGTTTCTCAAAATTTCATCAAATTTTAATCAAGTTATAATGAACTAAATCTTGGTTTCTAACATTTAATTTCATATTCGTAGTAATTTAGAAAACAAGAAGACATGAATGAAGCAAGAAGGTCACGTAATTCTACAAGGCACAATTTATAGTACAATTTACCTCCGAGCATGATTAACCCTGGCACATGCATATACGCTCGTCACCTCATATATGTATCACCCCCGCATGTAGGAAATAATGACAATTAGTAGGAAAATTCTCTCAACAAAGTTAGACAAGACACTTACCTCAAACAAGCCAAATCGATACACTAGAAGTGTCATCCCGCTCAAATCATCCTCCGAAAGGCTCGAAACTAATCAAAAGTAACTCAAAATCATCAAATAATGCCATAGGAATCAAATTCAATCGATAAAGGTCGAATCTTTACACATTTACTCAAAGTCAACTAAAAGTCAAACCCGGGCGCGCACCTCGGAACCCCTACAAAACTCACAAAATCGGACAACTCATTTAGTTACGAGTCCAACCATACTAGTTTCACTCAAATGCGACTCCGAATCGATGTTCAAAACTAAAAAATTCACTTTAATAAAAGTTTAGACAACCCCCCCCCCC